AACGCCCCTTACCATAATCGCTTCAGCTTTCAAAGTAAATATCAAGACAGTTAATAATGTCGTTAGTTTTACCATCAGTTCAAGCCCGAAAGGGCAACAGAGTGGTGTGACAGACACAGTGATGATGCAGTACACAAGCCGCGGTTAAGACAGCTGACGCGCTATGATTTCTGACAGGCAGTTCACTCTCCTGTGATGTGACCCTGTTCCCCTCACACACACACACACACACACACACGACGCGTTACTCTGCACTGCGCAAAATTCCGCATTTGAACAGTCAATAGCAAATACTAAAAATAATAACAAAACATACTTACAGTCGCTGATTCAGAAGCGCCAGATTGTCATAGCAAAGTCGGAATTGACCCTTTTTTTTTTTTTAGAAATAGCCTTTGTGCACAGCCAGCCTTGTACTCTTCTAGGTTCAAAAAACTGTCGTCCATAAAATGCGTTGCACAAATTCGAACATCGCAAATCTTCCCACATCGTGACGTAGACATGTGGGGGCGTGTTAGAACCAGCCGTTTTAGGTAGGCGTGGTTGACTCTTAACTTTTATAAAGAATATCTCTTTGGATTTGAGACTTTAGTCTTTGCAACTTTACAGATCTTCTTTATGCACCAAGAGCTTGTAACACTCCAAAGAGAAAGGAAAACTTGAAATCGCATCATATGACCCCTTTAAAAAATAATTCATTGCTTTCAGTGCAATTACAATGACTGAAACTTTCAGTCCTCAAAAAAGGTTGCAAAAGCGTTAAAGTATAACACATATAGTCTAAACGACTAACGTGCGATTCTAAAGTCATACAGTAGCTTTGTGTACAAAACAGACCGTCACACATAATGTTCCAATCTAGTTGTCTGTGACCGGATCAGTTGAGTCAGTAAAAGTTGAACCCGAAAATCGGATCAATTCTATTCGCGAACGATTCAGACCGAATCAACCGATTCGCTGAATAGATTCGACCAGAATGATTGATTCAGGAATCGGCTGTCGCTAATAATTCTCACATGAACACGCCGAGAACTAAATGAGGCGGAAGTCAGTAATAATGTCTTTGGTTTTTATGTTTTCCTCACACAAATATATCTTGTGGCTTGGAATTTAGCGCAGGACTAATATTGACCACTTTCTGATACTTTTATGATGCTTTTGCGTGTTTTTTGAAAGCCAAGTTCATTATAATTGCATGCAAAACACGAGGTGTGTAAATGATGACAGAATTTTCATTTTTGACTAAGCCAATCCTTTGCGAAGTATTATATTTTGTTGATGAATTCCATGACTAATGCAATTTTTTCTGCTCTTTTATTTGGAATACAGAGTACGTCACTGAAATAATATTTAATCCGAGGGAAGCGATTAGCAGCTGATTCATCTGTGTCTTATCTGTCAGGAATATTTAGTGCCAGTGGTATGTATATATAATCATTCGTGGCATTTAAACATCATTCATAAGCAGTTTAAAACACTATTTAGTTTGACTTGCTTTATATTATGTTGGTTTTCCATACAGGAGATTCAGGAGTCACTGAAATTGTGAAATATGGTGGCACTGTATTGGATGAGGCTACAGAATGGATCAGAACCCAAGTGAGCTACTTATTCCACTTATTTGAAGGTACCTGATTTACTGATCATGCTGAAATATTTGAATGTTGTTTTGGAAGTTGACGTGCAATCAGAGACATGGAATATGGTAAAAAGAAATTAGTCATATTTGCACTATAATGTCTGTTTAATGCTTTCTATTCTACAGACATACTGGATGTAGTGATTACTCCAGTGGATATGGTCACTGAAGCTGTTGTGCAAATTTTAAGTGGGATCAAGACCATTATACAATATATTTCAACCATGTTTGGGGGCATTGAAGGTACTGCAAAGCACCAAATTAGATTTTTCTCATAATTTTATATATGCTCTTTTTCTTTTTTTTTTTTAAACAGGGGATACAGGCATCACTGAAACAGTGAAACTTGGTGGCACTGTATTGGACGAGGTTACTGAATGGATTAGATTCCCAGTGAGCTACTTATTCCACTTATTTGAAGGTACCTGTATTTCTGAAATATTTGGCCGTTGTTGCTCTGAGAGCTGACATGTAATCAGAGACTCATGAAGTGCCATACTGATGAACACATTTCAATCTACATTTGAAATTGTCACTGATTCCCGTGCATAAATAAATAATTATTCATATTTGAGCATATCAATGAAAAATGATTTCAACTGCTCATGCCAGACTCACTGATTTCTGTTTAATGCTTTCCATGCTGCATAGACATCTTGGATGTAGCAATAATTTATCCAGGGGACATTGCCACTGAAGCAGTTCTGCAAATTTTAAGTGGGATCAAGACCTTGAAGGTATAGATTTCTCATGTTATTTTAGACATTCAGTGATAACTTCCTGACTACCAGCTATGGAGATTTTGTCCTCTGTAGAGGACATTATATTTTAACGAATTTCTCTGTGACCTTACATGTCACAGTTGGATGTCCTGTACAGAGCACATTCAGGGGAGTCACAACAAGTGAATAGGGAAAGAAATTATATATCAATATTCTTATGAATTATTAGATATTATTATGAAAATCTTGCCAATTATTACTCCCAATATTACACTGCAAAGCAACAAAATGTGAATATTTTAAAGAGGGGTGATTATCTTTATATACCCACTATATATATATATATATATATATATTAGTTCAGTCATGAAACTCTAGATGGCGCATTCTGACGGGGTGTTAACGTAACTGATGATATTCAGAGAGTTAAACAACTTGGCACAAGCTGAGTGGTTCATGCAGCCAATGAGCTTACTGCCTTGCATTTATATGGCTGGCTGGCTAGCATTCACTTGAGATTCATGCAGCGCGCTTTCAGAGTTCTCTGAAACCCTCCACCTTCCCCAGCTCCACCTGTATAGATCTGCTACGGGGTTATTTTATATGCTATTTGTGCAGCAGCAGTATGTCTTAAATACTCACGGCACCGTATCGCC